ATATATATATATATAAGGTTCAAGAACATGGCAAAGTATAAAGAAAACATATCTAGCTTTTATTGAAACTTAAAAGAAATCCTCACAGTGTGTTGATCAGCTGTTTCTACTGCAAAGTAGAGATTTGCCTTTTTATTTTTTTCAATATCTGACCATAGGCACTTTATAGAAAGGTGTGCAAGCATTTAGGACATAATATATATAATGGTCAATTGAGACTGACCATTGATAATATGGTCAATGACACTCCAGCACCTATTTCACTAGTGTGACTGAAATCTGGCAGAACAAGAAAACTTTTGTCCAAGGAAATACAGAACACCAACAGGCTGCTGAGTGAACTTGTTTGCAGTCTGGCACATAACTATACATTACTGTGATATAGCTAATACTGGAACTCTCTACAATGTTTTACAGCATAACATAGCTGGCCATCCAAGACTTCAGGTAGTCTAGGAAAATATTGACACTATTGACAATATTCACAATATTGACAAGAGGTTAGCTGGCTAAAGTCATTCATCAGGAAATGATAATTGTCTTTGATGTGAAATGTTTGTGTTGCTAGTTTCTTGGTAGTCTTACAGACACATTGAATCGTAGATTATTATGTATATCCCATGCCAACTCATTTTATTTACTGACCTTTAGCTGGAGCTGAATGTACTTGAAGAAGAATGCATAAAAAATAACCATATAGGTTAAATGTATAAAAGTAGATTTCTATATCTCGATGAAAATGATTTAAGACTTTTACAACAAGCCCTGCATTTTATTTTGTTCCTCACTAGTGTTCCAAGAGCTCTTAAGATCAGTATGCGGTGCTTTCTACAGACAGTATGTAAATTGTAACCATTGCTCTTCCAAAATATAATGTTTTTGCTGTCAGCTAGGTAAATGTGCTCTTTACAGTGTCTAGGCAGGAATAAAACAAAATATAATACAAACCTGCATAAAGCTATACATTGTCTGACTCCATAGTTTCTGTAAAGAAATACATTCATTCTATGGGCCTTTACATTCTCACAGGTTGCACAGAAACAGGATATGGACTTTACAATGGGTGGGAACAAGGTGAAAAATAGCTTTAAATATCATTCTTTTAACTTCCTAAAACAGGAGAAATCTGATTGGCTGCCACAAGATATTTGTACTTTATCATTATTCCTCACATTGCATTTTTAGTCTGTTTGTGACATTTATTTTTAGAGCAATCAAGGTAATAGATAAAAAGGTGAGCTGTCCTTAACTTCAGTCCCAGGTTAGACAGAATAAATACATTGCATGTGTTATTGATACAGGTTCTAGTGCAAACATTACTAGTTTTCCATATCTCCACACAAGTCTAACACAAGGACTGAGCCAAGCTTTGATGTCTGAAAAGGAGTGGTCCAAAAAAAAATCAATACATGCTTATAATATTACAAAGAGTACATCTGTTCTGATATTGGTTCAGCTTCCAAAATGTTTGTCTGCTTTATTGCTTATATGATTTTAAAGGAAATATAAGTAAAAATTCATTGTTTTCCATTGGTACAAAGTCTATCACAAAGTGTATAGGACATGCAAAAACACTTTCACCTATCCGAGTAGTCATGCACCTCAGTTTTTGTAAGATCCGGTAAATAATAAAATGCTAATAAATTTCTAACTGTACAACGGGTGTATTTACCATGCATAAAAACGAATAGTTGGGTTTTACTTCCCAATATGCCATTGTACAGATGTGACTGGAGGGATGTCATTGCATGGAAGCCAGAGGTAATTTATGTCCTTAGGATCCCATTGAATGTTTGGGGAACACATCTGGGGAGCAATGTTTTTGTGAATTAATTGCACGTTAAATGAATCAGTATTCAGTAGATACCTAATGCCTTTACTGCTGCCACCTAACAACTCCATTCTGTGTTCAGAGGGAGGGTGACTACATTAAAGTATAAAAGCAGCCAGAACTGGTACAATGTAGAAAACATTTGTGGCAAAATACGTTTCATGAGTTATATGATAAACACCTAGCAACCTAAGTGCAAACTAAATTTGCTTTTATAGTTGTTCTGTGGGATAAAAGTTTACAATTACCAACACCATGCCTTTATGTGTGATGTCATCTTCGTATTGCTGCATTAGGTCTTTTTTTTTTTTTCACTTTTAACTTGATGCCATGCTACTAACCAGAAACTTACAAAGAGATTAAGCATATTTTTTATTGAGGTGTACTACACTTTGATGTTTGTGCCATTCATAAGGCTGATGGCATGTGATGATCTCAGTACATCAGAACCATTACCATAATTTGCAGTTCTTATTCCATCTATATTGTTTGTCACAGTGTACATTCCTCTCACTATTTCAGGTATATGTGATTAAAAAAAGTAAGATCATTCTTTTCTTGATATTGTTTATTTATTTTCACTGGCCCTGTCTGCATTTTATTTATTATTGCATAGATATTACTGGAGATATTTGACTCCTTGTGCAATATTTGTTCTATTGTCACAAGCACTGTCAGTTTGAAGGTACTAAATCCAGTAGTAGTGAATCTCCCAAAAGGGGACAGTTATTATACTGTCTTCCACCTGAGCTACAGGTTGAATGTCTAAAATGAAGCGTCCCAAAAATACAGAAACAAAGGAAATTAGCAGATCCGGAGCACAATCAGGCAGCAAGTCTATTTTCAGGTTTTAAAATTTTGTGTGTTTGGTTTCTGGCACAGGAGTTTCTGTACTAAATTTTTAATCACCTGAATTAATAGTACCAAAAAATTGTATGCGAGTTAACTTGCATTACCCATACCAATTTTTCAAGGAAGCCTATATTGTATCTTATTTTTCAACACACATCTGAAAAAATATTTATCCCCAACTAGCACTGCCAGTGTAAATGATTTGGGGTCAGTGAAAGCAGCTGTACTGCATAGCAAGGTAAAACAAAAAGTTAAAGTTGAGAAGAGTAACATAATATTTTTATATTATTATTATTATACAGGATGTATATTGCCAACAATTTGCAGATCACTTTACATAATGGAGGGAGACAGTACAGTTACAATACAATTTCAGAACAATAGGGTTGGGAGGGCCCTGCTTGTGAGAGCTTACAATCTAGTAGGAGCTGCAAGTGATACAAAAGGTAATAATTGTGGGGGGTGAGCTAATGGAAGAAGTAAAAGAACAGTTATTATGTCGAGGTGGGATAGGCATCCCTGAAGAGATGAGTTTTCAAGCATCGCCTAAAGGTGGATAGAGGACATCTTCCAATAGAATGACCACATAAGGATACCATAGGTCAAATAAACAAGCCAGGCATTTCATCTCAGATCAGATGAGAGCGCCACAAGGTTTGAACAAGTCCAGTAAGAATGTAAACACAAAGCCAAACTGTTTTAGGGGCTCAAAACTCCCCCTATATCAGGGCTTCTATGCTGGCAGTGAGTTTGAGTTTGTACTGGACAGGTTTTTTTAAGCATATAATGAATAGCCCCAGGAGTCAGCTTGCCAGACTGATAAAGCCCTGATGAAGTGGGAGTTGATAAGCTCCCAAAATGTGTTGGCTTTCTGTTTTCATGACAAATAAAATTCTTCCTGGACTTTGTCACCCTCTCATCCTTGCAATTTGCCTCGTAAAAACTAGATTCCTGCTTCTCAGTCACGGGTCCAGCGTTCCACCAACATATAACTACTACCAGGATAAGAGATCAGAGAA